GTTCAGGGTTACCATTGCACCGTTCGATCCTCGCAGTGGAGTGACTGGCCCGAAAAAGAACTACACGGTTCCTGTACCGGGAAATTCAATCAAATTCGAGGGCTTGAATCCGGAAACCATCTACAATATCACCGTGCAAGCAGGCACAAGCTCCGGCTACGGTCATATTCTATGGGGAACTTACAGTACTCTGGCCCCTGGACAGCGGCACATAATTCGGCTTGTGAATAGGTAAGTGTCGCTTACAAAATCATTGAGCTCGGAAAAATGCTATGATCCTTACACCGGGGCGTGAATGCCCCGGAAATCATGACAGACAGTATAATCCTGTAATTGGTACTTAAAGGTCTCCGACAACGCTGCACGTGGAATGGGAGCCTGTTTGGGGACGCAGCCACAGCGGTTATACTGTGAGTATGCTTCATTGAAAGCAATACCTTTGAAATAAAGGCTAGGAGTTTTGAAAAGTTTTGAAATGTTCTGAAGGCCAGAGGCTGGCCTTAATGTCACAGCCTACAATTACTCGAATGAAACTGTCCCATGCGTGTGTGAACTAGCCACGCCCGCGACCGCGGAGGTTGGTTGTATCACTCCTGCGACTCCAATGTGCATGGCAAGAACGTTGGGGGCAGGGTTTGGGACTCATGACTGTCCACGCCCACCGAGTTATACAGCAATGTCAGGAGGCATATACCTGACTTGTCAGGTGTTCCCTAATACGAGCTACTAGACGAACATAAATAATGATGAAAGTTGTTAGTTGGGAAGCTCCCCGGCAAGAACCGCTTCCACGTTTATGTGCTCTCTCGCACTTTGTTGTCTGGCCTATCTTCCGCGCGCCCAATGTTTCTTCGATGTGTGCTCACTCTTTGCTCGAAATCATTTGCGAGAAAGAGGCGTTGCTAGCAAATTCTTTTGGTTTTTCTTCACTGGTAAGCCGACTGACACCTACAGATTCCTCTTGAAATTCCATTACCCATATCCTGGTCTAGAGGATTGTGCTTTGAAAGTTACAATTCGGCATCATGAACAAGATACATATTGATCGACCCTCTTGACTTTAGGCGTGTGGCTATTCTTCACGTTCTTGGGAGGGGGAGGGGCTATCGTTAGAGGAAACAGTTGCTCGGCCCTCAAAGAAAACTTATTCTAATCATCTGTTTCGCTCAAACTGAAGACTGAATTTACAGCTGACGGCTCGATCGCTGCACTCCGTCTATCCAAACGTGCGCATCAATCAGGTGAAAACGTTCGATGTGGAGTCGTGGGAGGATAACTTCGTTATCCGAGGACTTCACCCCAGTACTGTCTACAATGTTACGCTCAAACCCAAAGATCATACAGAGGTAAAAACTCGTGAGGTTCCATTTTCAGGGTGTTTTCTACGCCCAGCCTTACTTCCAGGTCGCTTGGGGAGCTTATGCCACACTGCCTCCTGGTTGGTTCCTTGTCAAAAACCTCAAACAGTGCGATAAAACTAACTTCGCTGTCTCGATGAGCTGGGAACCTGTTGAACTGGACATGGCCACTCACTATCAGGTAAAAAATTATTTTGTCTTCACCATAAGAATTCTGAGCTCTATGGTGATTGTTCAGGTTCGTTATCTTCGGATGAAAGATAGTGAGGCCGGATGGATCGAAGAAGATGCCCGAGAGAGCAAGGAACTACTCTGTCCCAAGGTGAGTTCCCCTCCTTTCCGACTATCTTGGGCCAGCTGATTGAAATGGATGCTTCAGGATGGATGCGGTCGCCTGTGCTACTTGGTCTTCAACCTGCCCCATAATCCTAGTGATTACATCTTCCAGGTTTGTCCCCTCAAAAACTTGGCCATCAAACTAGAAAACGATGACAATAGCACTATGTTATCGACTTGATACTAGTTTTTAATTGGATGGATGCCAAGGTTCTTTGCGGGTATAGCGGCAAGTTTGGCTGGGCTGCAAGCATGCAATCACAAGTTTCTTTGTCAAATCTTAGAGTTCCCTCCTGTGGTATTGGATTATCCCGCGAGTGGTGGAGTTTTATCTGGCACAAAATTAAGTGTGAAAAATTAAGAAATTTTCAACTTCCTATTTCGTTTGATGTAGAATTTCGATATAGAATTAGGATTTGCGCTATGAAATGAGGGTTTAGCTTTTTGGTATAATAAGGGTTTAACTCTCGAAATTTATGGGGCGTATAGCCGAGGAACTCAGAACTCTGTCTCTTACGTTAGGGTTACTCGAAGGCAAGTGGCACGATAAATCCCCAAGACGTGTAGGACTAATGTGCCTAGGAGGACAGAATTCTGAGCCCCTGAGCAAGCGCTGCGTAGCGCTTTCCCAAGGAGGGTGCTTTTACAGCGCCCTATCAAGCTGCAACATACCGACCCGAACGCCCACCGCGCCCGCCCGCCCACAAATGTCGACTGATCCTGATGCTCGCGCTTCATTTGCGAAGTAAAATATGAAGCGAAGGGATTGATATGAAGCGGCTGCGGTGCTGCATGGATATATAGGCACATGCATGCAGCCGTACCTACCGTAGCAATTAGTGGTACGATACCAACGGGAAACTCGTCCGAAATCGTTTTCTGAGTTGAACAAAGGCTTTTTTGCAGGATTCAGAACATTTTATCTTTCACGCGAAATTTTGAGATAGGAAATCACGCCATTACTAGCGAGCCAGTCCAATACTCGCTCGGGCCTATGATCTACCGTTAGTAGGCATATTTTTCGTGCCAGCCAACTGAGAGGATGATTACCGTTAGGGCACGTGCCGCTGGAGAAAATTTCCAGAAAATAGGACTCCTCTCCTTCCCCTGCTACGATCCCCTCCCCCACCTGCCAAACGAATAGATACGATACTTCCTATTGGAAACTTCTTAACCATGTGAATATCGTTCGTGAAACCGGAAAAATTAACTATCAAAAAGAATTTTTCCTCCGACCTAGTACCACCCTGAGCAATCCCCAACGGAGAATGTGCCCCGTTTACAGTACACATCCAGTAGCAGCAAGAGGTGTGACTGTGAGAGCGATGAGGGCCTGCACGAACGAAGTATGCTTAAGGGAGCAGAGTCTGGGTTTCTGCTCTCTCGGACGGATCTGTTACTAGCTTACCTTCTTCGGAGGGTGAAAGGCTTGGTTAGCCTACGTGAGGAGTCGACCTGGGATTTGACCCCTGGAATGGGCGCGTGTATAAGCCGGTTACCTGCCACGATTCCACTTTCAGCCGTGATTAGCGATCGTTTTTATTACCGCGAGCCAATAAACTCGTTCGGCCTCGTCTGACCTCTTCAGCGTGAAATAACAAACCGACAGAGTCGAAATCTAATTATGTCCTACCCGTCCAAGAATAGTCTTTGTAGGCAAACATATCCATAGCTTAAGTAAGGAGAGTTCTGGTTAAATACA